TTCCCCTGTCTCTTCTGGGTTTTTTTCTTAATTCCTTATATACCCATGTTTCAGAGACGTGACTAAGATAGAGCAAGAGATCTTGGCATTCCTGGGCCTAAAAAAGACTTCCTCTTTTAACCCTGACATTGAGGCATTTGATGAAACATCAAAAAATGGTACAAATCTCAGCTGCTTCACTTGGATGTCAAAAGGTGCATTTTCATTTCTATCCACGGTTGAAATTAATAAATTACCCCCCCAATGGGTTTAGTCATAGTGAATGGGACTTTGCCTTTGATACAATAAGCAGCTTCCCCTGATCCCTCCCCGCTTTATCTCTGTTGCTCCTTTTCTGAATCAAAAGCCAGTAGCATGGGGCTACTGGCATGTTTTTAACACCAGGCATAGGACCGACAGACCTAGAAGCTGACACTTCCCTTCCTCATGATGGTCCCTGACCCCAGAACAAAGCCATGTACCATGGGGAAAGTGGAAGTGTTGATGCTCTCAGCACCGTTGGTCTCCGGAAAGGGGCCAGTATCTACCATGTACAGAGCTGAGCAACTTCACTGGCCCGTAAGCGCAGAGCATTTAAAATACTCCGGGTTCAGCGAGTTCTTTTTCCTCTTTCAGATTACTTTTTTTCTCACTTAAGTGCCAGGTTTCAGTCTAAAGCAAAGTCTGCCTGGAGTTTTCTACCACATGTACATATAGCTTCTGACTGCTGGTGGCTCAGGGCATATCAGGGAAGCCCCAGAGTGCTCTTAGGTTCTGCTTACCTTAGGAACCCACAGATCCTTTCTCTCTCAGAATCACTCCAGCCAAACAAAACTCTCAGGAACTGTGGAGTAACCTTGCATGGGAAATGTTTTCTGTGTAGGTAACACGCTCCAGCTAGGGAATGGCCATGCACACCATTCCTCAGCCCCTTCCAGCACTGTTCATTCCCTGCAAGAGCATCAGATGTGGTTTTGGAAACAGCAATTCGTAAGCTCTTTCTCCCTGAGCAATAGAAGCTGTTCTAGTAACATTACTCTCCAGCCAAAGGGAAAAGCAGGGGCCAGAGAAAAGGAATGAATCAGAAGACTCATGAAGAGAAGCTGCAAGGAAATATCATCACATCCTTTCAGTCTGAAAGTTAAAGGAACGTCAGTGAAAGATGAGTGCAAACAGGGTTGGGGATTTCTTTGCTCATTTAAAGGACTCTTACTTCTTTTAGCATCTATTGTTAAGAAACAGGACAGCCAAGAACATGCTGCTTTAACACACTGAATCAGCTTTTAAAGTGCAACAAGGGAATTTGGGCTGTGTGTTCTTTTAACTGGGAAGCATGACAAAAGCATCACAGTTAGAAGAATGCTTGCAGTCTCATTCCTAATATTTTTTAGGCTTGAGGAAACACAAGATCATCCTTCTCTCAGCAACCAAGACCCGTTGTGTGAATTTTCTTGGCACCTGCAAGTCTAAACATCAAACAAACCAACCCCAAAATCTCTCCCCTTTCCCCCAGTTTAAATGTGCTATTGCTTGGGAATGGGGATGCTGAACTGCTCTGAATCACTGTCACTATAAAGCTGAGTTTTCCACTGGCACAGCTGGGAAGCCAGGAACGCCTGCTGCATCCTTAGCTGCCGGCTCTTATTTTTTCCACAGTTATTTGTCTTTCGTGGGACCGCTTCTATCTTCACCCAAAAGTATTAAATCAACGCACTTACTCTTCCCCTGCAAAGCAGCAGCCTTCCCCTTACACATCAGTCTCATGCTTCAGCAAATCATCTCTCTTAAAATATAAAACAAAGGAACTAATAACTGTATTTTATTAATGGTGTTTGCCCTATGAAGCAAATCGAGCTAAAAGCTTAATTCCAAATTCCCTAGAATTCAGCTGCTAGATTTCCCTCCGGGATGCGATTCCCATTCTTCTCTCAATTAGCAAAATAAACTGTGCTATGACAAATATTATTATTTACTCAACAAAGTGATCAAAATCATTACAGACTCCTTTTTCTCTTTAGGTCCCTGAGGCAGTAAAGGGAAAAGATGCTGTGATTTATTTGGGGGGCTCAGAATAGTGTGTTCTGTGTCAGCAGGCAAGGAAGTAATAGGATCAGGAGAGCAGAAACGCAATCACGACACACTAAATAATCACAAGGCTTTAGGTTTGGGTGGTGTCTTTTAGGGGAAAAAAGGCAGATAAACGTGAGGACACACCAGTGTCAAGAGGGAGGCACAGAGGGAAAACGCACCACGCACCATCCTGTACAGGCACTCAGTGAATCAGCTCCGGAACACCGACACATCTCATTCCTCTCCATGAAATGAGCATGAATCACTCCCTGCCATCCCCTGGTAAAACCCCTCAGTAATGGGTGTGGTTTAGTAGAAAGAGTATTTTTAAATACGTATTCCACAAAGTGAATATTGGAGGAAAAACAATAAAGAAACAGGATAGTGAAGACCTGTGTTCAAGCAGGATGTGTATTCACACAGATGCAATCCTCCTGTCTGGCTAACAGGAAAAGCATCTATTACACATCTCTTTCTCTGAAGATATGGCAAGTCAGACACGGCATTCCCTATTCCCTGAGCTGGTTTAGGCTGCGAGGGGAAATAACGAGCAAAGCCGGTTTAGGCTGCGAGGGGAAATAACGAGCAAAGCCAAAAGTTTCAGCAAGCCACATTCTTCTCCCACCTCCTGGAGCTCGGTGTCTTACATCAGAGCCAGGCCCGGATCAAACAATTCAGATGGAAAAAGAGCTGGCCCCTACCTCCAAACAGCAGCCGCGTTTTGTGAGGACTTCAGAGCACCACACTTAACTGCTTTGTGTCATTTTGATCTTCACAAACCTGCTCTGACTGAACTCTGAAAAGAGAAAGCGGTTTCTGCAGTGTTAATGCCTTGGGTAGAAGAGAGAAATCCATTTTCAAATTAAAGCCCCTAACAGCACATTCTTCACCCCCTCCCCAATGTTTGGGGTGGGTTTGTTTGGGGGGTTTTTAATTACAGAAATCAGGAGAAAAAGATCTAAACTGTGAAGTGCAAACGGAAGCATTTTGGAATTGCTATTGTACTGTAATACACTGAATTATCACGCTTAAGCTTTAACTACAAAAATCCACAGACCAGCAATAAACACACCATTCCTGAACACCTCCCCATAGTCTCCTCCAGCACGGTTCCACTCTTTATGCTACCCAGAGCAGCCAGGCACAAAGATGGGTCCCCTTCAACAGCATAAAGAGCAGTTTCTAGCAAAACTGAGATGCTGCTGAAGACCTCAGGCAGAAGCTCTTCCCTGTGAGGGTGCTGAGGCGCTGGCACAGGGTGCCCAGAGAAGCTGTGGCTGCCCCATCCCTGGCAGTGCTCAAGGCCAGGTTGGACACAGGGGCTTGGAGCAAGCTGCTCCAGTGGAAGGGGTCCCTGCCTGTGGCAGGGGTTGGAGCTGGAGGAGCTTTAAGGTCCCTTCCAGCCCAAACCAGTTTGGGATTCTATGAAACTCCTCCCCTTCTCTTCCCTTGCTGCCCATGGTCTTCCTACTCCATTCTATTAACGGAGGACAGAAACACTACCCCAGTTACAATTTCCTCCCACAAGTAACATCATGTGGAGCTGCCTAGAACATCTCCAAGGCTTTTCCAACCTTACACTCAAAGGAGAGAGCTCAGAAACCAGCACAGAGACAGGCAGTATGGTTCACATGAATTCCCATTTAGCACAAGATGATATCCACGTATGTTGTTCCCAAGTAAAACAAAGGCACTGAGTGACTGCAAACGGGCTTCTACACTGCCTTTAAACATAGTGGGAAGTAGAAAACTTCAGGAGGTGTCTGTGAGTACAAGGGAAGTCAGAAAAGATAGTGGCAGGGTGGGCCTAAGACAGCATCCGAGGACATCTGATGGAGGACAAACAGTCCTTCCTTCCAGGTATGAACTGTACCTGCCAAACCGGAGAACAAAGGAAGGAACACCGCTGCAAGGGGAGCAGCACCCAGAGAGTTTGTCCAATGACACTACGAAAATAAGCAGTATCACAAAGTCAACGTGGAGTGAAGCAAACAGAGAGGGCTTCTATCAGGGCTGGCATTCAGGGCAGTGGATACGGGGAACGTTTCTTAAAGCATGAATGTAAATACAGACTCTTATCAGAAATATAAAACAAGGACAAAGTTTCCCCAAGGTCACAGAAGTAAAATAGATCTGCATGACTCAAATTTGATCAGACTTCTAGCAGCCAAGGAGGACAGCACCGGGCTCCAAAAATCAGGCTTTAAAACAACAAAACCCAACAATGCCACCGCTAAGAAGAGAATTCACCTTTCTGTAGGAGCCACTTCCACACTGCAGCCTACAAATAATCAATATTGCCTGCTCCTAGAGGAGAATTGTGCTTAGCTCCAGAGACACCTTAACGCGATCAATACAAGTGGAAATCTCAAGCTGCCTCATACCTGTATGCTCCCCACCACAGGCAGCTATTCCCAGTATATTAGCAGGAATATATAACTCCAGTATACAACAGCTCTTAGGGAATAATGACTTTCACATTTCTTTATCTTTGCTGCAGAACAAGAACTCCAGAACATCTAAGGTGTTAATGGGTACATGCTATTTCTCTATGGGCAGTTAATAACGGCAGCACAGCTAACATGGATGGGAAGTCAAAGGTAACACACCCAACTACACAACATGATGCGACTCATCAGATTCCTTCCACTGTGACAAGTCCTGAACACAACCTAAAAATGACCAGCTCTTCAGGAAGTGACCCAACAGCATTTAAAACCACCCTTCCAAAACGGGGCTGGAGCAGCATCTGCAGCCCCAGAAGCTATCTTAAAAAGGATTTCTGCTGCTTTGTAAATACCGCATGTAATGGGGGATGCAAAATAACGCAGGGAAATACAGCATTAGCAAAGTCAGTGCTTCTGTCCTCAGGCAGGCAGGGCTCAGTCTCGCTTTATGAACAGTTTGCACAGAAGACAAATGAATGTGATTGTCACATTCAAGACGCTTACCTCCCATCCAAAGTTTGTTTCCTTTAATGTGCTCCTCTGTACTGCCATATAGGGTCCAAATCTTTCCCCAACTTCAATCTTCTTTTTGGCCCAAATCCCTAGCCCTGCCCCTGGAATCGAAGATTCTCTGAGTTCAAAATCTGGTGGGATTGGAATGTCATCAGGAATGTAGACGGGAGCTTCATAAGGTGAGCCCTCCTTGGGAGTGAAGTCCTCACTGGTGGGAAAGGGTGATGGAGGTCCGACAGGAATGGGGGACATAATACTGTCCTCTGTTTCCTCCTCTGCGCTTTCGCCAGCAAGGAGATCAGGGTCGGTCTCGTACATATTATTTACAATCTCGCTGTCACCTAAAAGGGGAAACAGCAGAAAACACACTGAAATACTCACGTGAACATTGGTTAATCTCTTCCTGGGACAACGTTTCGCAAAGCCCAGCTCGCATGCTTTAAGGATAACCCTCACCTACAGGGCTCAGGTAGGGCTGAGGTGAGAACCTTCACGCTGGTGGCACAACCTGCTCTGCTGCTGAAGGAGGAGATGGAAGCTAACTGCTGGCCTGCCACAGTGTATGGGATTGGGGCTACTGCAGCCAATGTCTTTTAGTAAAGGAAAGAGGGAAGAAAACACGAAAGAGCTGCTCCAGGTTCCCTGTAACCATTGAGACAAGGGTTTAAACTGGCTCCGTATGTTTTGTGGAGAAAATAAAGAGTAATAAAGGTAAAACCTGACTTAAGAACTGTCTGCGCAGGGTTTGAGTTTCCTGGGGCCAAGGCGTCATGCAAGAGAAGTCCCTCAGCAATGCACCTTTTCAAGGGCAACAAAAGCATCACTGGTTTGCAATACTGCTTTAAGACCACCACGTCCTCCAGTGAGGACTTTAAGCTACCCCAGCACAGACATTGTGCACAGTCAACTCCACAGGCCAAGGATCTCATTTGCAACAGCTACAACGGTCAAACAGGAAGCTCTGGGAATGCTGCACACCTTCTATTCCTCATGACACCTCTTAAACTAGAAACAAACAGATTCACCCAAGCAAAGCCAAAAGAAAAGGGAATTCTCCAGCACTCCCATCAGGAACTGGTGATGATCAGGAAGCATCTTTCAGCAGACCCCAGCACATCATAACCTGGACTTTTACTGCGAAGAGTCACCGGAGCCCTGGTAGGTGAAGAGGAACTCAGGGTAAATAAACTGAGAGCCAGGCCCCTGGCTGTCCCACACCAACAGAAACAGAGCTTTGAGGAGCCTTTCTCTGGACGTGGCCTGTCTCACCTCTGGACGTGAGGCATCCCTGCTGACCAGGTCCTACAGAACCCACCTCTGACTGTGCCAAATGCCAGTGGGAACATGAAACAAGCTCGAGAAGCACATTACAAAATCATATCTGAACATGCTAAAGTGAAAAGAAAAGGGGTGGGAACAAACCCAAGTCCAAGGCAGCCTGGAATACAGAAGAGAGAGGAAGCTGAAGAGTGAGAATGGTAGACTCAGAGGGTAATAATGTTTGGGGACTCTTCCAAGAGGAGTCAACTGCTAAGCTGCAACATTCATATGTAACGAAAACTGAGCTTTTTTCATCCAAAAAGGGAAAAAGGGGGGGGGGGGGGAAGGGGGAAGGGAAACAGAAGAAGGGGAAAAGAAAAACACATTTGTCATACAATACATGGAGTTGAAGTATTTTGGGAACAGATTTGCCATCTCTCAATTAAACATGAGGCAGCATGACTGTGCTTTCATTGCACAGTAGTTTCCACTATGATAACAAGTCCAACAACCGCCTCATTGTGGGCCCCGCCGCAGCCAGCGGGCTCCCACAGTGCATGTTAATGCCTGACCCTGATGCCAGCAGCACCCAACCACACTGGCAGCTCGCGCTGCACCGCGCCAGGCACCTCCTGCGCCATCGGGGGCCACCGGGGACAAGCGCCGGGAGGCTCTGCTCGAGGTGTACGTACCACACACACACACACACACACACACACACACACACCCACCCCTCTCCTCCGCCCTCCCGTGTGCAGGGCATCCCCTCCTCTGTGCTTTCGTTGCCTTGCACCCAATAAAGACTGTCCCGAGTTCATGCCTGAGGAACCCGGTGGCAGACCTGACCGAGGAGCAGGATTTGGATCCCTCTGCCAACACCTTCCTGCCCCAGCTTTCAGAGCAGCACAAAGAGCTGCCTGCTCCAGCTTACATCTGCTCTCCCCGGTAAAAAGTGCAGCTCTCCCTACCCAAACACATCGCCAGAAACAAGCTCTCAGAAGCATGATCTGCTCCACAGCCCTGAAAATACTTGTGGCTGCTGTAAATGTTTTTCTCTCCCAGTATTAGCAAGTCAAATGATTTTGTACTCTATGATTAGCCTCTCCTGCACTTAAGGAACAGGATTTCCAACCGAGCTGAAAAGCAAAACCAGGTTTATTGGAGCATGACCTGTGGAAATTTCTGAATGACACAAGAACAGAGACACCTCACTACTGAGCACTGCAGATGTCATTCCTTCTACGGGACAACTGGGCCAGCTCTGATTAGACTCTAATGTGAAGCTGAATGCACATCACACTGACCTCACAGGTAATCTCCTCCTTCTGCCTTTGCAGTTACTAAAATCAGTTATCAGGGACTGACACCAGATATGAAACAACAGTGAGACAGAACACTTCCAGGTAACTGATACAAGACATACCCCATATGGCATCTGCGTGAGCAGAATCACCAAACGCCTATGTATCTAAACATATGTGCATGCACGTTGGGGTTGTTACCACAACCAGTTAAATCAATACTTTTTACCTAGTGGAAGGTGTCCCTGCCCATAGCAGGGGGTTGGAGCTGGATGAGTTTTAAGGTCCCTTCCAGCCCAAACCAGTCTGATTCTATGACAGTATTCATTAGCAGAGCCATTCCTGTAACCAGATGTAACACAAGTGGTTAAAAACCCAGGGAACATCTTGCTGTTCAGGAACAACCTCCAGCTCTGCCGAGCTCCATCACAAGTCTGCTGGCTGCTCTTCGAGAGCTCTGTGGGACGTGGCCGTTCACTGGTGACAACCATGCTGTCCTGCATCTGCCCCTCTTCTAACAGCAAGTACCGCAGCGCTCTGGAATGTCTGGTTATGTGAAAAGCAGTGCAGAAATACAACTTGACCTTACTGTTATTGTCATGAAACTAAAATTAGTCCTTCAAAGCTCACTAGGAAAATCACTCCATAAAAAGACCCATTGAAAAGTTGCTTCCACAGATAATCAGATATGGGCTTAGGCTTAAAATCTGTGTGACACCAATGAGGTTCTGGCAACAATGAGAGTGATGCTTTAGTACTGGTGAGAGACCTCATGAATAATCTATTTAGCAGCTGTAATAAAGCAAAAAGAAAGTCTGATGTTAAAGGAAATGGTGGTAGAAGAAACATGATGTGAGATTCTGGGGGGTTGTAGGTTTCGTGTTTAGTTTTTAAGATGTTTATTAATATTAATATTATATCAAATTCTGCTATGGAAATGTCTATTATCCGAAATGACTAAACTTCATCTACACTCACAGACATCCCAAAGAGCATCTCTGACTCCAGAAAGGCTCCGACAGCCTAATTCAGCTCAGAGTGCAAATACATCAAGCAAGTACCTGCTTAACTACCACCACCAACCGACTGGCTTCATTACCTCCAAATGTGGTGCTGCCCATCTACAGTTCACTTCAGGCAAGTTACAGGTACCTGTCCCATATCCCGTACTCCGCATGGAATTCTGCACGAGCCTGGCTGCCTGCTCCCACTGTCCTGACCCAGGCAGACAGCTGACAGCCCGGCACAGCCCACGGCTCAGCAGAACCCCCTATAAATCACAAAGGACACCAGAAAGCACCAAAGAGCACCCACCCCAGCAGTGACTTCAGAACACTGAATGATCCTAGTGATCAGATTGCCACCTGATGGCCACAGCTGAAATACAATAGAAAATCAGAAACCCAGTCCCTTCTTGGGCTGCATCTGCCTGACAGCCCGACTGGCACACATTTCAAAGCCCTTTGCAGCACCAGGAGCTGGCACCTTGGCTTACACAGTCCCACAGGCTTCAGGATGCAGCAAAACAGAGAAGTCAAGGCACCCAACACAACCCTCACTGAGGCTCCCCTATTCAGTTCATCCAGGAATGGTTTCCCAGTCACTTTACTGGTGAAGATAACCAAGTGTTGGCAGGACAGGTCTCTCCTCTGACCTCCAAGAAATCACTGCCAGCGCAATCCTCCATGGAACTCGTAGTTTCATGGGCAATTCTGCCACAACTTGCTGTGATTTTGCCTGTTTTTTTCCTCCATGGATGTTGATCTTACCTAGAAATACCCAGCTTGAAATCATGTTTTTCTTCCCTTTCAGTTATTGCTGATTCCCACCTCCCCCCCCCCACCCCCCAAATCCTGGGCCTTGAAGAACAGATGACACTAATACATAAAGCACATTAAATGTGTTTCTCAGTCGAGTAAGCCTGTTTCCTCTTTAGAAGATGTCCAAAGGCTTCCACAGGCTCCCTGACTTTACTATCTGAAAGCCCCCCCCAGTGCTACAGCTGCTGTTAACTGACAAACAAAATGGCTCTAGGGAAAGATCTGGTGTTCCATACTCCCTGCTCACACAGCTACGACCGGCACAAGGCACTGGCTTTGTTCTGAAGACCAACCAGCTAAACCCCACTGAATAGGTGTGCATGTAAAACTCACGACTCTGCTATCCTCAACTCATTTAAACACATCTAAAAAGATCTGAGCTGACACCATAAGAAACCCTTCTCAGCTCTAGCTGACATCCAGCTCTCTCTGCTTGCTGGCCTGTATTTCTCCTCAAAGGCCTGTGATTCTATTTTACTTACACACTCTGAAGCACAGCATTTCAGGAATCCTCGAGAAGCAGGAGATGCTGATTTTGTCAACAGGGCCCTGGAAACGAGCAGTCAGGTATCCAACAAACCCACACTGCTCACACCGGCCCAAAGCCCTCACATCTGCAGGCCTGCTCATGGAAATCTTCATGTAGATGTCATGGAAATTAAACCCAAAGAAGAGGCACATTTTAACACATCCCCTGCACAAAAATTCAGCAGAGACCAAGCTATGTGACCCTCTCACAACAGGAAACCTTCCCAGTTACTGCTGCACTGGAGTGTCTCAGGCTAGCATCCGAATTATCCATCCTGGAAACTGGGGTTTAAGGACATATTCCATGAAACCCCCACAAACCTCTGTCTGATGCAGAACTGCAGTAGAATGCACTAAAAACCAGCTTAGTCCCAGAGAATACCAAAACCTGCAGAGTTACTGAGAGATGGAGACAGTGAGGGATAAGGGAGG